AACTTTATAACAAGATGGAAATTATAGAAAATGTTTACTTAATCTGGGCTTCTAACACAATAGAGATGGAATCACGTGATCCTCAGGACGCTGAGCTTACTTAGCATTATTTCTGCTTGGATTAACAGCTTTCTCATCATATAAAGCTTTTAAAAACAGATTATCTCTGCCTTAGTGTCATAGGTACATTTTTCTACCCAGAAAACATGGACATCACTCATTAATAAATAAAATGCGGATTGATGGTAGATTTTATCCCTGAAATTTGATTAAAACCTGTTACGCACAGATATACTTGTCCAGAGTAAAACTGTTTTTAGATAAAGTAGAACTATGATTTCCTTCACTGTCATTGAAGTGGTTCTCACTCACAGTGATCCTACAGGAGAAGTGACCTATTGGGTAGCCAATGCAGTAATCTTTACAGAGGCAGACTGCCCTGTCTTTCTCCTACGGGAAGTTGATGCATTGACCAACCATTGACATGTTGGTTAACCGCTGAGCACTTTAATCACTGTGCCATCACAGTTTATTGATTATTATTTCCCTAATATCATATATCTCATCACTAAAATCCCAAGCCTAATCAGTATCTATGTATTATAGATAAAGCAACAAATTTATAGACTCTATTTTTGCTCATTCTTCCAAGACCAAGCCAAAAACAACTCAGGCATTAACTTAAGAATCTGCTTTTGCCTTGATCATGAACTCCTTAGTAAATCAGAGTGTGTTTATAGTCCCACAGAGTGCTCCAGAATTATCTGAAAACCATATTTTATGTGCTCTGCTCCTAATTTAAAGAGTTCTTATTTACATAGTCTAAAAATTAGAGTTGAAAATAAGAACATAAGCCACAGTTCGATCTTCTTCCAGTAACATGTACAGATCCTTATGGAAAATGATGCACCCTGGGGGCTCTTTTCAGAACCTACGAAGACATACTCTTGTGACTTTAGCTATCTTTCATTAAAACAATTCTACTTTAAAGTACAGACCTCCACTCTCCAACACATTGGGTCAATTTAAAACTAAATCATTCTTAGTAACTCGGTCCATATCTTAACAATCTCTTAACAACAACAAGTAGCATTAATGGATTTTATTTTCCTTCCTCAAAATTACTGAGATACATCTAAATGAAGTAAATGTGATACAGTCTTGGTATCACCAAGTGTCTTACCTACTAGGTTCCAATAAAGTGTTCTATTGACCATAAATCTAACAAAAAGTACCAAGGATTTAAAAGGAGTTATTCTAAGTCAGACCTATCTCTCTGGCCCTCTGTGGATAACTGAGGTGCCTGATTACAACGGGACCTGAAGCTTCCAGGATACAAACACGCACTGGTCTCAGTTTCCTGAGCGATCTTCTTGTCTTTCCATATGCAATTATCACTCATCAAAGTTATTTAGGATGAGAATGTGGTTCCCCAAAAGAGGTCTCAGGTAAATGGAAGGAAAAGAAATCGATTTGGCTAAGCTGTTTCTTTGGGTTCCCCATTGGAAAAGGTCCCAACCAAAGAGATTATTTTGCAGGTTAGAGAATGATATTGACATCGAAAGGTAAGTGCTAGAAAGAAAAAAATGTGTATCTTGGAAATAAATGCCATGGTCATCTTATTTCTCTTCTCGTGTCGAGCGCCTTTCCCTTCTTCCTAGTTCACCTTCCACCCTAAAACCGCCTCAGCTTCCATAATGGTTCCAGGTCCGTGCTCTTGGTGAAAATGGCTTGCCTGTATTTAATTTGGAACTAGAGGAACTTTTGTCATGGATCTCTGACAGTTCAAACATTTAACAGGCTTTAATTTAAAATAGAGCAAGAGTTTGATTCACCGAGTCCCCAGAATTGTTGAAAACTATGTGAAATTATTCTGTACTACCTTTAAGTGGTGGAAAATAGAGGAAAAACTGACCTAAATTACTCCTGGCTTCCTTCCACTGCCCGGTACATTAGCCCATAGTCATTGGTGAGTGTGAGCCAGAATACCAGGCTCATTTTTCTCTGTTTTCTGAATAAATAAAAAAGTAAATAAGTCCCGCAGGCAGATAGGAAGGACACTACCTGCAAAGCCGTCTCGTCGGAAAACATCAGAAGCTGGTATAACACGTCCATTTTAACGGAAATAGGTTCTTTATTATTTAATCAGGACAGCTTCTGGGCGATTCATGAACCACTTATTGAATCACCGAGTTTAAGAAATCTGAAAAAAAATATTGGGAGTTGGTAAACACCATCTCCTGAGTGATCAGTAGCACCTAGGGTTTCAGAATGACATGAGAGATTTTTTACCCTATTGGCATTTAAAGGCCATGGCATTGTTTTCAGTTGAACATCGTGAATAGTGAATCTCTACAAATCACAGAAAGCTCATTGTTCAAATCCACCATCATCTTTGGCCTATACCGTCACTAAGTAGAGCAAGGTATGCATTTTGCTGGCTGAGTTGCAGTTCTTAAACAATTCATCTTTCAAGATTTCGTTTTCTTGAGAAGAAAAACTAAAATAAAATGTTATGAGCTTATTTTTTGAGCCAACTATAAAACATAAATGTTACTTCAATTCCTGATTAAAATATCATTGGATTTTTAAAAATATCATGCATAGCTGTTAAAGCAATTACGTTCACCGCATTCGTAAAAAAGGGACAAAGAAACTCAAGAGTTACTGTTATGTCCGTGTGCTCCAGTGAACTGACCTATTTGAAGGGCCTTGTGTTTAAAAGAAAAAATTACTGCTGGTTCACATTACCATCAGATTTGTTTTGTTGACTCTTAAAGGGATGGTAAGGAAAATAACTTGCCCCCAAGTGCCTACCCATTGTCTTTCACTTCTATCTTTACTCCTGGTTTGAACTTTGTGATCATCCCCGAGTGCGCCTGAGAGAAACACCTTTTCACAATACGATACAAAGAAGTGCATCACAACCCATCAGCGCTAATCATGATGATCTACACAAACGCTGAGAGGCACTAATGTGTAAATCATGTTCTTTGGATGAATCCTTTTAATTAATTCAACGGAACACTTTATTACGACTCGGAGTAATTATACATCTGTAACCAAACCCGTGCTGATTTCTCAACCATATTTTATCAGCAATTCAGGGATTCCCATTTGGAGTGTTTTAATACCCTAAGATGGTTTCAACAGGGCAGAATCTGGCAGAAGGTCAAAAGAGGTCCTTGTATTTAGTACACAGAAGAAGTCCCTCGAAAATGGGCCCTATAGTCGTCCATGTGTCAAGACAGGAGGGCAGAAAGGAAAGTGATGCTTTAAAACACATGGCACTGGCATCATGAGCGTACTATGTAGCTTATCTTTCTGGTGACAGACATTCAGATTCCAGGATAAAAACATGAGCCAAGTCAAAGGGGACATTCCAGATCCTGCTTGATTCTTAGAGAAGGCAGATCTTCAAGAAGCTTTAAAACTGAGGTGACATGGATCTCATTAACAGGATCTTAGGAAATGATATCGCTAGTGCTTGTGTTAAAAACGACCAGAAGATGTCTTTACAGCACTTCACTTGTGTTTGACCCAAGGCAGCACAAGGCCTTAATCATCGATTACTAAGATGTAAAACTGCTAGGCGATGGTATGGTTCCTTCTGAAATGAATTTCTAAATAGTCTCACTTATTATCGCATGAATTAATTCAAAGGAGACTATCTTCAATATTTATATTTTGATTTTTTTATTGAGTAAAGTAGTGTGCTAGGTACTTCAAATTTAGCCTCTAGTTTGGGGCTTTTTGAAAAATAATGCAATTATAAGATTTCACAATATAAGGAGGCTACTAAAAGTTCATGGAAAAACTTCTGTTATCTTTTCATTCTCTTATTCCACAAACTTTTCAAAACCTACTCAAATATAAGCTGCTGGTATAAATGAACTAAAATTTTAATGGATAGTGTTATCTTAAATTGCACGATGTTTTGTAATACAGGCATGTTCCTGTAAACTTGGAACAAAGTCAATATTATGCATGCCTCGCTTTTTGATGGAGTATTTAATCTCTCCTCCCCAAAGGGAGGGGTGAAATGGCACAAAATAGTTGAAGATAATACTAGAGCAGTAAAGCACTGCAGCTTCAAAGCTATTGCTTAAAATAATAATTTCTATCCTTTAGTGCATGGCGATTAAGTGTTTTGTATACAAGGAAGCTCTAAAAAGTTCACAGGGGTGGGGACATCAAAAGATAATGGCACCTTTCTTTCCATCAGCTTTTTGACATAGTGACCTTAGGAAGTAGGTTTTATTACCTAAGCTCCTTTTAATTGACGAGGACACCGACAGTGAGTTAGAAAGTTTAAGTAGTTTGTGCTAGGCCAAATAGCTAGAAAGTGGGAAGCAACTCCGAAGAGCTTCCAAAGCCCAATCCTCAAGCCCTGGCTGAGGTGAGGACTCACCACTGGTGCTCGGAACATAGAGCTACCTGAGCTCACCAAACATCTTCACATGTACAGAACCAAACTCTTAGAATATACATTAAAGGACCTGTCAAGAAAAGATGAATCACTGAACATATTTTACCGTTTTCTCACATTCTATATTTCCTTGGTGTTCACATTTTTGTGGTGGTTGTTTGTTCTCATTAGACACTTTGGCACACCTATAAAACTCAGATTTTTCAACAGCACAAGGAACCATCACACAGTCCCGGAATCAACATTTGGCCAATGCTCTGTTCAACTATGGCGATCAAAATTACTTCTGACATTGCTTCCCATTTATTGAAAAAAATCTAACATTTGCATGTTGATCAATCCCCACTGGTCCCCTTGCTCCAGCAATTTTAGTCTGTTCAATAAGATCTGTTTGAGTATGAAGGGGAAAAAAATGCCACAGTGACATTTTAAAGTACTTTGGGAATGGCCTGAAATATCTCAGGGCCCTATACAAGTTACTCATTATACAAGGTTTGAAGCGCTGCATATTAGGGTCTACCAATGGTTTACTTCTGGAGCAATTCATCCTCACCCTCCAGAGACTACTTACTCTAGAAAGCTGGTGATGTAGTCTCGACTGCAGGCAGACCAGGAAAAGGGATTGGTATTTGCAGTAATGTGAGCTGCCATAAGTTTTGCTGCTTCGTGGCCTTTCGTCCCACAAGAATTTCCAATTCCATCATGGTTCATACCAAAACTGTTTTAATGAGGAAGAAACAGAAAAGAGAGAAATAAGAACAAAACAAACGAAAAACCCAACACAATATTTATTTCCTTCCACGCATCCTTGGTTTCTTTGTTTGACTATTTACTAGCCTTATTGACAGAAGGAGATAGACCTCTGAGGAAATATGGGTTTAAAGTTAAAGAAAAAGAAACTAAGGCATACGTCAGTCATGCAATATCTTTCTAGAGCTCTTTAAATTGATCATATACTCACTTTATAACTAAGAAAACACTTAGTAAAGATAAAGGGCCTATTAAAGACCCCATGGTTAGTACATGAACTTGTTCGTAGAACCAATCTTTAACAGGGCAGTGTTGACCCCACCTCATTGTGCTGCATCCAAGAGAATTTTAAACACATGGTTATGATCCACTGCTTTCTAACATACAGAGAGGGCAAACAGAGTCCTTTTTCTCATTAGTGCAGAAAAAGCAGAATTAAATGCATGTTATTCATGTTTGTATATGTGTTTCGAAAACATACATTCATACTTTGAAAAACCTTGATGCATTAATGGATTGTAAATACAGGTGTTTTTCTTTGTTTTTTAATTTGCTTGTTTTGTATTTTTCTTTTTGTCATGGCCTGCCTTCATTTTACAACTATTTTCTCTATCATTCTGGTCAGTGTCCTTTTCATGCATAATGTTACTGATGTGATCTAAACACACATTTCTGTGATAAATCATACCTGTGTGTGTGTATGTATGCATGTATGTATCTATATATGCATGTATTTACCGACTCACAGCATCCTTATCAGAAAGAAAAGGACTGCCTCTCTGAGTTTTCGAACCGTAACTCTTTATGGGAATAGAAAGCCCCATCTTTAGTCCATACAAATGAATAACGTTTGGCCTTTCTTCATAGGAAGTCCAAAAGTTAGGTTGACTATTACAAAAAAAACAAAGTGATGTCTCCATTGTGACATTCTAATAAATGGAACATGATGTGTATTCAAGAAAGGATGTAGTATGACTGGAATATAAAATTGATGGACATAATTGCTGAGGGGAAATCTGAACAGGTAGTTGAGAACCAAGAACGATAAATAATATATGAATGTAAAAATTAATAACCATGTTCTTGGCAGTATAGAGACACTGAAATAAAGACATTGAATAAGTGTACCTGAAGAGGTACTGAATAGAAAAATATGCAATTAGTCCACATTTTAGGCAGGTCACCATAGTAATTCTCTACTAAAGGCATTAGAGAGTGAAAAGAATGGAGTCAAAGAGAGCAATGGAAATTCATTGCAAATTGAGAAATTACATAGGACAAGCTAGGGCCATGAGATGGAGAAACAGAGATGGAAATATGATTAGAAAGCATAACTATACAATACAATATAAAAAGACGGTAGCAAACATATATAATATGTTTTATATATGGGGACAGGGAGAAGCTAGTGATTCAAGTGGAAGAACCAACATGAGCAAAAGTGAAATACGTGTTCATATAAAACTCACTGCCACTGAGTCCATTCCAAGTCAGAGCCGCCCTGTCAAGTGTTTCCAAGGATGTAAATCTGTACAGGAGTAGACAGCCTCATCTTTTTTTTTTTCCTGAGGTGTGCCTGATGGGTTTGAAACACTGATCTTGCAGTTTGCAGTCCCAATGCTGACCCAATAGTGCTACTAAATCTTCTTATGATACAGTATACAGAAATTAAATTAAAGTAAAACTACAAGCAATCACCCAACAACACCAGTATTTATTTTAATACTTTAACATCAATACCCTGGAGTTAATGTCCATGAATGGTCTTCTAGAAATATGATGGATTGGGCATATATTCTGTTAAAACAATCACTACAGATTAATATAAGCAACTCATGTAAATATGTAATTTCATAAATGTATCATTCCATATTTTTTCTGAAAGGTTAAGGCTACTGTGTTAATACAGTCTTTTTAAATAGAGATAATAACTTTAAGATAATATTTCTTTTTAGTAGCAGTTTTGGACATAACATTAACCCCTAGTCAGTCTTTGGGGTAGATAGACATGAAAGGCTATGCAACTGTTTCTAAATCATCAACTTCTTATGTATTCGTTTCTCAAAAAAAAAATCAGGCTTCTTCTTTTAAAATTATACTCCTCCCACCTTATAAAACAAGGCATATTTTAAGCCACTCATAATTTTACAATAATGTATTCATTGCTTTGAAGTATAAAAACAGGGGTGCCAAGAAAAGCGACAGAAACTCGGTGTCAGTGTTGAAAAAATGAACGAATTATATCAGATGCTTTTCCATTCCTGACTTCATTGAGTTTGAATACGAATCTCATCAAATTAACAGCTAAATACACTGTTTAAAATATATTTTTAAGATAGATCGCTATAGTTTGGGTTTTTTTAAAAACAAATAATTCAAAGGGAGGTCAAGGATTGAGCAATATTTCTACAATAAACTTCACTTATCTGCATCTATTCACTTTTCAAAACTCACATCTGTAAAAACAAAATACAGGAATCATATTGACACTGGAGTCCCATTTTACTTTAGCAATAAAGATTGTATTGAACAAACAAAGATGCATCTTCCAGTAAAAACTTTATTTTATATTGAGTAATTGCTTATCAAAAGGTGTAGGATATGTGCTCCTGTGATAAATCATTACATATATATATATATATATACTTGTAATGGGCATTCAAGCCAGAAGAAAATTTTTTGTTTCCTCAATGTTCACAGGAAAAACATTTTAATGTAATTTAAATCTACATGTTTTTGTGCACAGATGGCATCATTATTAAAATGTTTTTAAACATTCAAATGTATTTTAAAGCTGTCACTACAGTAAGTTAAAAAGTATTGCTACAAAATAATGGAACCATTAAATATGAAAATGTAAGGCTATTCACTTCTGAAAGCGGTGTCTCCATCATTCTAACACCCAAAGAGTTCTGTGCTCTTCAACATGCACCACATCCAAATGGCCATTGGGACATCTTGGAGGGACTCGTGTCTTGCCCCTTTGACGTGTTCTTTGAGTTTGGGAAACAGAACAGTCTGCGACGGCAAGATCAGGACGGTAGGGTCAGTTAGACCACGCTCGCTAGAATGAGCCTCAAGACTGAGGGGGAGCATCTGCATGATGAAAGAATTCATTAATTAGCACAATTTTCTTCTAGACTGTAATTCAGAGTTGAGAAAATATTCCAGCCTTTGGTTATAAAGAAATTCGCCAATGTTTTCTTGTAGCACTTCCCTGATTTCATTTCTGCATATTTGCATATCTGATCCTCAGTTTCTGACATTCAAAGCAGATTGAATATGTTAGCCCTTTGGTAAAAATAAATAAATAAGTAAACAGAATCGTCCTGCCTTTTTCTCATCGATGTGATTTTCTGTTTTCTTAAAATGTCTTTCATATCATGTCCTTCAAGAAGATCTATCAAGATTTCCCCTTTAGCATCCCCCAAAATAATGACCATAACCTTCTGACTGGATATCCCTGTCTTAAGTTGAACTGGCCCAATAGATTCCTCAGAAGACACTGTTTGGATTGGACCTTGCTGTCTGCACAGCATTGCTAAACCCAGGCCTCATCCCCAGATAAAATCTGTTCTATAATATTGTCTTCATTAGTTTCAATCTCAATTTAAAATCTGATGGAAAGATTATCACTTTGAGCCAGCTGATTTTCATACAATGCTTTTGGCACCCATCCAGCCATAATCTTTCTGAGGCCAAGATCTTTATGCAATATTTCAAATGCTCAACCATGTGAAATCCCAACTTCAGTAGCTATTGCACCAATGGTCACTCTACAGTCTTCTTCCATCAATTTCCGGACTCAAGCCACAGTTTCTTTATTCATCAAGATTGACAGTCATCTCTCTCTCTTGGCTCATCTTTGAGGTCCGTGGGGTCTTCCTTAAAATGCTTGATTCACCCAAAATCTATTGTTTCATGTGGAATAGCATTCCCATAAACTCTTTGCAAAGTTTCAATAATTTGGGAAGATGTCAAATTGAGTATTTTGTATTGGTGTGTCATGATTATTAATATTATCCCTGATCTCAGGTATAATATTGTTGGTGTGGTGGTGGTTTTTTGCATATAATAAATAGCTAGCTTTGTTCCAAACATCAGTAAAATTGGGGGGAGGAGTTGGATTTCTTTTTTCCATTGCACTAAACTAAACCAAAAAAAGAAGCCCACTATATTGTTTTGGTTTTTCGCTTGGTTTACTGCAATGGGGGGGGGGGGGATACACATTCCGTTTTATTCAATGCACTAAAAACATCTTTTTTTTTTTCTTTTTCAAGGCACCTCAATGAGTCTGTAGACTGCCTAGAGAACAAACAGGTCTTTCTTAGAAGAAGTACAGCCAGAATGCTCCTTAGAAGCAAGACTGGCAGGACTTTGTCTCATATACTTTGGACATGTTATCCGGGGAGACCAGTGCCTGGAAAGAGATGCCACGCTTGATAAAATAGAGCAGCAACAAAGAAGGAGGCTCTCAACCAGATAGGTTGACACAGTGGCTGCAAAGACGGGTTTGAACGTAACAAAGCTCGTGACACGGGCACAGGACTGGGCAATGCTTTGTTGTGTTGTATGTAAGGTCGACATCAGTTGGAATTGACTCAACAAAGAGACTAAGACAAATGTCTTATTGAGTGAACATTGTCTGCCGCCATTCACTGATTACAGGGATGTATTTAAATGCATATACGAACTAGAAGGCTAGTAGCAATATTGGCTGATTTACTAAAATACATATTGAGATAAAATCTGGAAGGACCAGGACATGATGTAAATTTTTACTGTAAATTAATATGAACCTGTTCATGTATCTTTTTAAATGCACATTGATAGTTAACAAACTTTCATCGAATTTACATTCAATTAAATCTAATTAAAAGAGGAATATCCTTTTTTAAGTGCCAATATTTGCATTGCTGAAGGGATTCCATCCCTTTCAGTTGCTTAAAAATAAGATTAAAATCTTAG